TATGTATTTTTCGAGCTAGACCTCGTCGCTCTCTCGTACTATGACAGGAATAAGATGAGAAAAGAGAGTTGAAAACAGATTTTAGCATGTGTAACCGTACCCCCAAATTATTACATATTATCCAGAGATAAGAACTAATATAGGATATCCTATATTATCTCTACTCCTGATATTATCAGGCATGAGAATAACTTAATCCACACCAATTTCAATATCATTATCTCTCGTGTATCTGTTTACTCCTTTGCTATGGAACTTCTCGTCTGCCAACTACCATGACATAAAGCACATTAAATGATCGAATATGACAAGCTACGTCGGAGACAACAAGTGGCGGGCGGAGTGATGGGGAGACTGCGCGAGACAGTTGGTAGTCTAAGAGACCGGTAATTACATTATTAATCAGATGGCTCACCTCTATGGCTGACACGCCATGATGACGGGCGTAGATGCTAGAGGTGTATTAGAGGAACAACGAACGGCGTGGCGTTCCTAGTCTCCGTCACGGCATTGCCACTTGTCGGACCATTCTCCCAGCGCTCTGTAAAGAATAACCTGAGTCACCCTGACACTGTATACATCTTCGCTAGTTGGACTCCTTATTCTCAATCACCACGTAACTCTATCTCAACAGACACCACAATTCGACAAACTCGCTACTTATTCCGATCTCCACTATATATGCTGCACACCCTGCAGTGCGGACTCACCGTTATTGCTGGCAGGGTGCAGGAGTACAGGACTCACGCTTATTTGCTGGCAGGATCCCAAACTCACCGTTTACTGTGGCAGGGTGCCAGACTTCCCGTTATTGCTGGCAGCGACCAAGACCACCGTCTTACTGCTGGCAGGGTGCTCAGACTTCACCGCTTATTTGCTGGCAGGTGCAGGACTCACCGTTTAATTGCTGGCAGACGGGCCAGTACATCACCGTTTTATTGCTGGCAGGTGCCGGAGATCACCGTGTAGTGCTGGCAGGGTGCCAAGACTCACCGTGTATTGCTGCAGGGTGCCCAGGACTACACCGTCGTACTGCTGGCATGGGTGCCAGGACTACCGTGTATTGCTGGCGGTGCCAGGACTCCACCGTGTATTGCTCTGGCAGGGTGCAGGGACATCACCGTTCATTGCTGGTACAGGATGCGCCAGTACTCACCCGTGTGTTATTGCTGGCAGGGTGCAGGACTCACCGTTTATTGCTGGCAGGGTGCCAGGGACTCACCGTTTATTGCTGGAGGGTGCCAGGACTCACCGTGTAACTGCTTGGAGGGTGCCAGGAACTCACCGTTGCATTGCTGCAGGGTGCCAGGACTCACACGCTTATTGCTGGTCATGGGGGGGAGGGTGCCAGTACGCACCAGTTTTATTGCTGCAGGGTGCCAGGACTGCACGTTTTTTTGCTGCAGGTGCCGAGGACTTCCACCGTTTATGGCTGGCAGGGTGCCCAGGGACTCACCGTTTATTGCTGCAGGGCGTGCCAGACTCACCGTTTTATTCTGGCACGGTGCCAGGCTTCACCGTATTGCTGGCAGGTGGCCAGGGACTTCACCGTTTATTGCTGCAGGGTGCAGGACTACGTTTATTGCTGGTCAGGGTCCAGGATCACCGTTTTATTGCGGCAGGTGCCAGGACTCACCGTTTATTGCTGGCAGGGTGCCAGGACTCACCGTTTACTGCTGGCAGGGTGCCAGGACTCACCGTTTATTGCTGGGCAGGGTGCCAGGACTCACCGTTTATTGCTGGCAGGGTGCCAGTAGACGCCACTGCGCGCTCGTCCGGTTCTCCGTCTGCAGCAGCTGGAAGTCGATGACGACGGGTTCGGCGAGGACGCCGCGCACGTGCGCGTTCCCATCATGCAACACCAGCGACACGACGGGGCTGTTGATGACGACGTCGGTCGCCGCGGCGATGCGCACGCTGTCGTCGTAGCGACGCGGCAACAGGCTGCCGAGCGTGCGGTACAGCGCGTAGAACACGACCGCCTCGTCGACGTAGTCTGCCGACGAAGGAAAGGATAGTGAGGGTGAGGGCGCGGTGTGGGGTCGCGGCGCCGGACTAAACCCCAGGGGCACTTTGACGTTGGCGATCGGTTACTGTGATGGTTACTGCGATTTTTAATTTAACAAAGATGACGACAGGGGGCCGTTCCACTACCGAATGGCAAGAGCTCACTGCTGCTAACGTTTCGCACTACTGCCAACTATTATTTACTTATGGAACTATTATTATATGGAACTATTCTTATATTGGGCTCCCGATGGTATTATGTATCAATATCTACAGTCCCGAGTTTACGGTCGGAATTCGGACGCTATTCTAACAATAAAATATCACCGATATTTCCTCCTTCATGCTCCTAGAAAGCACTGCCTACACCTTACCGTCATCGTAATGTTTACTCAAATCCCCTACGCCATGTTTTTTTACAAAATTAATTTGATCGTCCAACTTCCCGATCGGCTAGGCCTATTCCACGCGATCACAGCGTTCATTGAAATCACATACTCCTTGAAATTAAAACAAAAGAATTTGATCGTTCAACTTCCCAATTGTCTAGCCCTTCCGCGCGATCCGAAGCTCTTACCATTCTTCGCTGTGTCGTATTTCTTCGGCCGCGGTAGGTCTATGCTGGTAGACTTGTCAAACATGTCTGGGTTGCGCGGGTAGTTGTTGTACTTGGGAATCACAGAACCACTGATGTTGTGTTTCGGCACTGTGTCCAGTCCCACCACTCACTACCACTACTACCACTACCACTACTATTAAACTGACAACTATTAATTTACAACTAAATATTAACGTTAGCACTAATTAGCATTATTAATTTGATTGCGTCAGCGTGGCTCCCCCTACACTACACACTTACCCGTGTTCGGCGTGCTGTGAGCAGGACTGTAGGTGGGGCCACCGTACATCCGCGCGAGCTGGCCCGGGCCGACCTCGCCTGACCCCGCCGCCACGCCCGGCTTCGTCGGGATGTTCTTCCAGTCGTTCTTTGGCTTCTCCTCGACGACCCCCTCCCCCTCCTCCTCCTCCTCCTCGTCGGACGAGTGGGAGGAGGCGAGTTCCAGGTCAGCGTCGGAGAGTTCGCTGTCAGACTCGGGCACGGCGTGGTGACGATTGCGCTGCTGCTTGGGGTGACACACCTCACCTGTGTCCGCATCTACAGCAGACAAAGGTTGACGACCCCGGGTGAGAAATCACAGGTGACAGGTGCGATGTAGGTGAGAAATCACAGGTGACAGGTATGATGTAGGTGGGTAGGGTGACACACCTTATCTGTGTCCGCATCTACAGCAGACAGGGTTAACGACGCAGGTGAGAAATCACAGGTGACAGGTGTGATGTAGGTGAGAAATCACAGGTGACAGGTGCGATGTAGGTGAGAAATCACAGGTGACAGGTGCGATGTAGGTGAGAAATCGTAATGGTAAGAGATATGGCACAGGCGAATAACACTCACTATGAGATTCCTTATGAGGCATTCACTATATGAGGCATATACTATTCACTATAGTATAGTAGTAGAGGCATTATCACTAGGGTAACATCTAACACTCACTGTGGAAAACCGACATGTCATCATCACAACATAACAGGTAACGTTACTACACAACATGCAGTATATATCAATACTATACAATACGTATTGTCACTACACATCTAGCACTCACTGTGGAAAGCCGACACGTTGTTGTTCTGGTAGACGAGCGCGCCTCCGCCGCCGGCGCCCCCTGGAGGCCGCTCGCGACGCTCAGCAACGCTCGGCAGCTGACCGGACGTGCTGGTGCTCGTGCTGCGCCCGAAGGTGGCGCCACCGTCGGGCCGGTACAGCCGCGTGAGGCTCTCTGTCTTTCCCGTCGAGTGACTCGTCGTTGACGTCGTCGAGACGCCGATGTTGATTCGCTGCAGACCGTCGAGCGCGTGGTTGTGGTACGCGAGTGCTGACCTCTGCTGGCGGGAAAAACAACGAAAAAAGTTACGAAGCGGTCGACGGATGTCTGACGCCATAAACACAAAGTTATGGAGCGGTCGAGAGAGAGTGATCGACGTAAGTCTGACGGCACAAATAAAGAGGTGAATTGGTAAAAATCTTCAGGTATTTTGCTTGGAATCAGAAAAAGAGGGGAAGAGAGGAGGAAGTGGCCTATTTAGGGCCACATTAGGGGAATATTAGTGGCCTAACTTAGGGCCGAGAGAGAGAGAGAGAGAGAGAGAAAAGAAAGAGAGAAAAAGAAGAGAGAGCGAAAGAGAAATCTCAACTAATCAAGCGAGAGCTAGAGTATACCTGCGCTCTGCTTCCCGTGGGAGATACGTCATCAAACTCCTCCTCCTGACCGCGGCAGCGCGCCCATTGTCTGCTCAGCTCCACTCGTACCTGAGCGACGCAAACCAAAACAAGTGACCATGAAACCCGCGTTGCCGCGACAACGCGCCACGCGAAACATCGAAACATCGAAACTCCATTACCGACCACATGGCATGTGCGCAACCTTAAAGCTTAAGTGACGACACTCATCACGTTTCTGACAACGACCCCCCAGAACTTTGTAATGTACTCATGTTTCTGACAACGACCCCCCAGAACTTTGTAATGTACTTATCATGTTTCTGACAATGACCCCCCCCCAGAACTTTATCTGACGTAGAAGCTAACACGTTGTTCGGTGACCACCACCTACGCTCGTCACGCGCACACGCAAGTCTTATCTTTGCCTCGCTGTACCGAAGTCCGATCACTATGTGTCGCTTACCCGCTTGTTGAAGAGGCAGTGGAAGATGAGGATGGACAATCCCTGGAAGAGCGTGAAGATCGCAAACAGATAGTGGAACGTGTTGATGTTGCGGTTCACGGCGAGGAGGCCGAACGCCATCGTCGTCCCTAGCAACGGAAGCAGGATCACGCCGAGCTTCAGACCAGTCCTACGGAGAAACAGGAGAGGAGAATAGTTGCATGGCATACGCAGCCTAGAGCCTTACTATAACATTGATGTGTATATCAGTTACATTATTAGTGGTACATGAAGTAAATGGGATGTGATATTTGCGTGGCATATGCATCCCTAACCCTAACTAACAATAATGTAAAACATCAATTACATTATAAGTAATATATGCTGTTAAGGGGATGTAATAGTTGCATGGCATACGCATGCAGCCCTGACCCTAACTAACAATGGCGTGTACATCAGTCCCGTTATTAGCAATATATGATGTTAAGGAGGTGTGATAGTTGCATGGCATACACGGCATACCTAACAATGCTGAACTGGTACTCCATGTCTGTCTTGGTTGACTTCAACATCACCTGCATTGCCAGGATCAACGTGACGATGTTCATCTGAAACATGGACAGAACATGAAGTCAGGGGTACCATGAGCATACGTTTAGCTACGCCACACTAGCCAGGCCAAGTCTTTGCTCCTATTTGCGATACATCTTTTGTATCAGTCTAAGTGCTGGAAGTGTGATCGGCTTCACAAAACATATTTTTGGCGATTTATAGTGATTTCACGGAAAATGAAGTTTAGAGTTAAGTACACAATTTTACGTAACTGCTGGCACTACTGTGGGTTTCTATAAGGCAAATACTCACAGCTACAATGGCACAGACTGGCCCCACAAAGCTCCAGATCAGGCTGTCCTCGGTAGACAGCCAGCAACTGCGACAGAAAATAAAATACAACGTATAAAAACCCATTTTTATTAGCTATAACCGTCGAATGCAATGCAACCCTATATATAGGAAACATCACTGGTAACATACACAGATGCATGCATATGCTTAGTATCGGTAATTTATCAGTCGTGTAATTATTATTTATATTTATTGTATAATTATTTA